TAGTTACGAAACCAGCCCTCCTGGAAGAAATCGTCCTTAGCCCCAGGGGTGTAACAGTTTGCTTACAGCTTATGCAAATTACGAGACGCCAAGTTGAGCAGGTCCTTGCTGCTAGAAGGAGAGACCAGGCTGCCCCCGGCATCTCCCCCTTCTTGTTGCACAATAAGGACCCTTTTCACTGAACTGGCTATCAGGTTCTGCACACACTGCAAAAAACAGGGTAAACAAAGTAACAAAAGAATAAAAACTCTAAAGCATACACAATCATTTTTACAAGGCTTCTCAACCATCCTGATAGGCCCCAGCATTCTGTTACATTCTTAGAGGCATTCCCAGGTAGAAACTGTGCCTGGAGGCCCTCAGGTATTGGCCAATGCTCCAGGGGCAATCCACAAGGCATGTGGAAAAGGGGTTGCTAGGGGAGGCTGTGGCCAGACACAAAGTATCCTGTCCGGTAAGGTTCGCCAGCGTTACCCACACATTAACCTTAGGTAATTTCTGCAATGGACAGTTCTCGATACTTATTCATGTAATTCCTTCTTCAGTTGTGATGTTTCCGGGCAGTTCTTCTGTCTGCTGTCCAAAATTCTGATTGGAGCACTCCGGTCCGACTCCAGTTGGTTGTGGCAGGGGTTCACGAAAAGGTCGTACGCTCTTCGCGGGAATCCATCTAGGCCCTTTCTCTGTAGAAACACAAGCATAACCTCTACCCCATGTAATAAGGGGATAAGGTCCCATGACTGTACCTGTTTCTGGATCTCGGATCAGCACGGGCGGCTTGATTTGCAGTTCGAGCGAAGCATTCGTATTAAAATGACGGACTATGGGAGGATTACTGTCTATCAAAGAACAATTCAGAAAATTAAAAACATATAAAGCTTTCTGAAGACGTTCCTCGGGGTAACGGTCCCTATTCCCCTTTTTGTTGTTGCAATAAGCGTTTCAGAGACTGATGAGAGCGTTCAATTAAGGATTGGCCCGTGGGGGAATGAGGGATACCCGTAATGTGGTTGATCCCCCAAGAACTCAAAAACTTTTAATTGCAGTTGAAATATATGCAGGGCCATTGTCAGTTTTAATTGAGAAGGTATGCCTAAAGTGGCAAAAGCACGCAGCAGATGTCGTTGAACATCGCGCGCCTTTTCGCCAGTATGACAAGAGGCAAATAATGCCCCAGAAAAGGTATCAATAGAGGAGTGAATATATTTTAAGTGACCAAACTCCGAAAAATGAGTGACGTCGGTTTGCCAAAGTTGCAAACTTTGCAATCCTCTAGGATTAACTCCTCCTGCTATTGTAGGAAATGAGTGCCTTTGACAATCGGGACACACAGCAACTATACTGGTTGCCTGCTGAGTAGTAAGGCCAAATTGTCGCTTAAGCCCACCAGCATTTTGGTGAAAGAAAGCGTGGCTAAGTTTTGCTTGTGCTATGCGGTCTGGCAGTACCTGTACCGGTAATGTAAGCAGGTCAACTTGCCGGTTCCCTTCCGCTATAAAGCCAGGTAAGGAAGTGTGAGATCTGACATGCATAATGAAATAGGAATGAATGCGAGAATCTAAAAGAAAAATAAGCTCCTGTAACAAAGCAAATAATGCAAAATGTGAGACATTTCGTAACACAGACGCCTCAGCTCGTTCAACAATCCCTGCAACATAAGCTGAATCAGTGATGATATTAAGCGGTGTAGACCATTTTCTAAAGGCTCGGACGATGGCAGTCAGTTCCACGATTTGGGGGGAACCCGGCACTGTCTTTATATCCGATTCCCATTGTTTGCGCTGGTCGTCCCACCAGAGGATAACAGATTTATGGGACTTCCCAGATCCATCGTTACTGTGTGGCTGGTTGCCAGGTCCAGCCCGGCGCTCCCGGCTGTGGCTGGGTGAAGGCTTGAGGCACTGTCGTATCCCTCTGCGGCAGCGGAGGGGTTAACTGCGGAACTTGTGTCTGCACGCCCCGTCCCGCGCTCCGCGATCGGTTTCCCTGTATCGGTTGCCCCTGGGAGTCATACTTAGAGCGACATTGGTTAGCATAATGGCGCCCCTTCCTGCACCTAGGGCAAATCCCCGGTGCCTGGGGCTTGGCTCCAGATGTAGCAGCCATACAATTCTTTTTCAAATGGCCAGGTTTGCCACAGCCATAACAAACCCCGGGGCCAGCTGTGCCACGCATGGCAGCAAAAGCAGCGGCCATCGCTTCAAATTTATGATCTACGGTGCCAATTCTATTACAGGCTTCCACCATTTCCACGAGAGAGGGATTAGGGTTCGGAAGAGATTTCAATAACTTCTTACAATCTGCATTGGCATTTTCCACCGCTAACTTTAACAACAGAATTTCCCGCGCTTCCACATTATCTATCTGGCGCTCTAAGGCTTGTCGTTTAATATTTGCCCATACGTCCTGGGGATCGGGAGGGTAGAGATCTGGCTCCTCCTCTGGGTCCACTGGTCCTGGATCAAAAGGATCATCCTCTGGGGGGTACTTGGCGGCGCCCACCTCAAGAGGCTCCGAGGTCTTCTTATCGACCGGGAGACCTTTCCTGTCTTTAGTATCTTTATTCTTAACGGTCTCCTGAGCCTTCAGAGTTTCAAAGATAGTCCTCCACCACGGGAGCATGCGCTGTGCTTCAGCATTCCCTGTTGTAGCCGCGTCCCACAGCTTAATCCCCACGTCATCCCAAAGCTCAGTCGTTAATATACTGGAAGCAGTTACAGTGGGGATTTTCACTTGTACCCACTTGAGCATAACCTTAAGATCTTGCCCAGAGAGATTCTTTTCATATTTTTCAAGAAGGGCTTTCATAAGTTCGTACACGTCCCTCTCTGGGGAAGACACCTGACTTCCCATGTCTCCCACAGCTCACCTCACAACTCCGGAGGGATTCTTAATGCCGGCTCCTGCTTCCTTTCAGCAGCTCATTCAAAGTTCTGTGGGACTCGCAGCATGCCACGCAGATAGGTGGTTCTTAATCCCGAATCACGTCGGGGTCACCAATTTGCCGCGATTGAGAGACGGAGACCCAGCTCGATGCAAGTCAGGATCTACTTTATTGAACACAACAACCGATTTTATATTCCAAACAGACAAAGAGAGACATGTGTTTTAAGCTGATTGGCACAATGGTTAATCACCTAATACATATTACAAAAGTTGAGCTCATGATTGGCTAACGTCTAAGGTCAGCTTGACTTTTTCTGCAGTTAATTTTCTGCTAGCTCACAGCATTCTTCTCCTTAACAACTTCTACTCCTGTTTCTATAGCACATGCTTATCTCTAGTTACGAAACCAGCCCTCCTGGAAGAAATCGTCCTTAGCCCCAGGGGTGTAACAGTTTGCTTACAGCTTATGCAAATTACGAGACGCCAAGTTGAGCAGGTCCTTGCTGCTAGAAGGAGAGACCAGGCTGCCCCCGGCAGTCATCAGCAGTTGAGGTTTTCCCCCGGTCACTCTGAGGACAAATACACGCCGAGTGCCACATCCTTGCCCCTCAGGCCTGGCACTGCCCAGCTCCCCCTAAACCTTTGCCTATACCCTAACACCTAACCCTGAAAGGTGAGCTCTCATCCTTAGCCCTGCCCTGATCACTGAAGCTGAAAACCTCACCAGATACCTGAAATCTAAGCCCTACCTACCTCCCTAATCCTTTCCCTCAACACCCCTCATCTTCAACCAAGTCTTTCCCTGGGCTGGCCTAACCCTGGACAACAGCCCTGGGTGGGGTGCAGCTCAGCAGAAAAGGCCCTGCGGGTCATGGTGGTCAACAAGCTTCACATGAGTCAGCGGTGACGGCTGGCAACCCAGAAGGCCAACAGCATCCTGGCTGTCTGAAGAGGAGCATGGCCAGGAGTGAGGGGGAGGGATTCTCCCCTTCCATTCAGTGCTTGCTAGACCACATGCCCAGTACTGTACTGAGTTTGGGGCCTCCTGCCCCCAGTACAGGAAGGACATTGATCAACTGGAGCAAGCTCAGTGAAGAGGCACCAATACAGTCGGGTATGTGTAGACGTGCAGGGGGCTGGAGAGCTTCCCACCTGAGGAAAGGTTGAGGGAACACTCTCCAGTATGGAGACGAGAAGGCTTTGGGAAAACTGGTAGGAGCATTTCAGTACCTGTCAGGCAGCTAAGAAAATAGAGCCAGGCTCTTCATCGTGGTGGATGGTGGGAAAAGGAGAGGTAAGGGACAAAAGTGGAACGAATGTTCAGGCAGGAGATGAGGACCATGAGGTCATAACCATGAGGTCACTTACACACTGGAAGAGGTTATCTTGAGAGGCTCTGCAATCCAGACCCTTGGAGGTTTCCAAGCCTCCTTTCCCCCTACATATGGTCTCCCAATATTGAACAAAAAGCTCTGGCTCAGGCAAGAATGAAGCAAAAGCCTATGGCACCAACACGAGCTCTTCCTCCCCTGGCCCTCTTCCTGTGAGAGGTGTCTGCCACCAATCCCACACTTCTTTTCCTCAGCCTTTGCAGCTGCATGTGCCTGGCCTGCTCACTTGACTTTGCAACCATCACCTTTGTATTTAAGGCCCAACACATATCTTGTCACTCCCACTGTAAGCTGGCACCCACCCCGCAACTGCAGCCCACCTGGCCACAGGGGCACGGAGAGGCCAGGCCCACTCTGCTTGCACTGGGCACATCTTTTTCCTGGGAACGTCCCCAAGGATCTCTCCTCACGTGTGTCAGGCTTGGCCTGGCACGGGTGGCACAGGGACAAGGGCTGCTGGGGCAGGGCTGAAGTAGCTCAGCTGGGAGAGCGTTAGACTGAAGATCTAAAGGTCCCTGGTTCAACCATGGGTTTCAGCAATGTTTTTCTCCCTTAGGGTCTTGCAGAGCCCGTCTGCCTTTGTCCATCCTGCCCTGTCCCTCCTTGCTCCTTCCCCTCTTGCCAGAGCACTGCCCGTGTGCTGTAGCTGCACATCTACAGGTTAGAAGGAGCCTTCCTCTTGCACCACAAGCCCCCAGGCTTCCCCTGGGCAGGACTCTCCACTCAGTGTGTCTTTGGGGTGTTCTCCAGCTGGGTCTCCTTCCCTGCTCCACAGAGATCGGGATCTCTCCACTGAGGGGTCTCTGCAAAGACTCTGTCTCTCTCCTCATGGTCATTCTCACTGGTGCAAAGACTGCTCCTTTCCTCACACACATCCTTCACCTCAACCTCAGTTCCCAGACCAGGGCACACTGCCCACAGGGAGGCCACTGTCCCCCACTCCCAGGGAGAGGCACTCCTTGCAGCTGAGAAGCACAATTGTCCCATGTTTACCACCACGAAGATACCACCCCTGCATGTGGTCAGGCTCTCAGCCTTGGAGTTAACAGCTGCCCGTGCTCAGCCACCCTGCCACGGAGACCCCAGCCAGGGCTGTCCCAGGGCACTGCTTTGCTGTCAGGACCGGCCTCAGTGCTGAGGAGTGGGGAGATCCCTGAGCCCAACCCACACCCGCAGCCCCAGGGAGATGGAAGCCTGCTGTCCACCTCACCTCCTGGGATGGAGTGGTGCAGGGCAAGGCCCAGGGACTAGAGGAGGGGTTATGGGATTTCTGCCCCTGTGTGCCCCCACCACACACCCTGGATGTCATCAGAGCCTGGGGGCACCTCGCCCTGTTGCACTGCTCCTCCTTGGGAACAGGGAGCCCAAACTCAGAGAAATAAGACTGCTCTCCCATGGGCTTTCCACATCTGAGCTCTGCCCAGTGTGGGGCAGTGGTGCTGAGGGCTGGGGTCTCACTGCGACCCCCCTCAGGTAGATCATCAGGAGCTGCAGGAGCAGACACAGATCTGGGACACAGTGGCAATCCTGCTTTGATGCAGAGAAGGGACCCATCTGGCAGGGGCATCCTGTTAGGTCCCAAAATGCATGAAACAGGTTCTTTCTGCTCAGTGGTGCTGCCCTCTCAAGCACACCCACGCCTGAGGCTTATTTCCTCAAGGAGGAAGAGGCAAACCTCTACCAGGTGCCAGATTATGGGAGAAATATTACACCTGTGGGAGGGCAGAGCTGGTGGGGCAGTCACACCGGACAGGCACTGGGCTCTTCTCCCCAGTTCCCACTTGGGGCACCTGGAGTGTGCAGATCAGTGTCCATACTGTCCAGAGGCCCCCACCATCCCGTGTTCAGAAGATAACACTCCCCTCTTCTTTACTTCACCTTTATACCTTATTTCTCTGAGATGCAGGGCTGGAGCTTATCCCAGTGGGAGTTATCCAGGCTGTGTTTGCAATGCCCATGGATGTCACGCATCATTGTGGGGGTCTTGCCCTGGGAACACTGCTCTCCCATGGGGGCTGCCAGCAGGAAGGCTCTCAGGTGTGGGGCAGGGGGATGTGTGAACCTCGGCTCCCCCCAGGTGCCCCCAGGGTCAGCCCAGGGGTGGAGGAGCTCCCAGAAGGGAATGGGACAACACTGCAATAGGAGAGGATGTTGGCAACGTCTGCCTCCTCTCCACTTCTGCTCCAGGGCCAGATCCTGCTGTTTGCAGCACTATGGAGCTGCAGCTACTCCCCACAGGCAATCCTGCCACAGACACCCAACGCACCTTCCAGCCTGCAGAAAAGAAGCCATTGTGGAAGCCGGTGGCATGCGCAGACCCACCAGCAGGAGCAGGGAGGGCAGTTGGGCAGTTTGGGCGCCAGGTCCTGCCCAGGTGCCAAACTCTTCTCCCAGCCTGGCTTCTGCACAAAGTTTCTGTGCCGTGGGTGCTGGGGCAGGTGAAACCCCAGCTGAGGGAGAGGGACCCTGTCTCAGCTCCCAGCAGCACCTGTTTTACTGGAGGGACACAAAATCTCCACTGCCATGGAAAAGTGTCCACATGAGCATCCTCCCGGATGGGCCCTTCTCCAGGCCAGGGGCTGGAGCACAGTTTTGGCTGCCGCACGCGTCTTGTGGGGAAGCTTTCTCCATCCCCCTGGCCCTCTAACAGCGCTGAGGGAACAGTGCCCTCATCCTCGGTGCTCCAAGCCCTCACGTACCTGCCCACAAGTACTGCCCCGCACACAGCCCAAACTGACATCCCTGGCAAGGCAGCAGGGGGGCGGGGTGGGAGCTGGAGGGGAGCAGGAGGAGGGTTTCCCAGGGCTGCTCCAGGTCTGCAAGGCAGGAGGAACAGCCCATGGAGACTGGGGTCCTGGCAGAGCATGAGGAGAGAGAATCCCAGCCACGTGTTTCCCAGGAGGTGGCTCTGCACCCTGTGCCAGGGCAGTGGGGAGCAGAGCTGCCTCCCAAGCATTGTGGGAGGTAATCCGTGGGCCATGATCCCACCTGGGGCTGGCTGGGGTTTTCAGGGACCTGCGGTCACCTTAGGGCTTGCTTCTGTGAGACAAAAGCCCAGGGCTCACCCTGACATGGCAGCTCTGTCGTGGCCTCTGCATGGTGGGATCGGTGTGGCCCAGGCAGGGCCTGGGGGAAAGAGCAGCTGGAACCCTTGGGGGAAGAAATGGGTGCTCCCACTGGGGTGCATCATGGGACCTATCAGAGAGTCACTTTGATTAGAAACTGCCTGTGGGCAGCAGGATGGATGTCTCTCTCACCAAGATTATTCCCCAGGGACTGTGGCCTCACGCAGCCCCACAGGCTGACCCTGAGCCTGCTGTCCCTGAGACGTGCCCCTTCCCTACGACCGTGTCTCTGTTCTCTGCTCCCCCTGAGCAGCCTCAGGGAGATGCCCTGACACCTGGCAGGGAAGCATCAGCTCTGAGTCAAAGCCCCCAGAGGCTTTTAATAAGCAAATATAAGAATGCACAGCATAAAAATGGGAATAAAAATGGAGGAAACTCCAGGCGGTTTCTGCTGCCCATGGCTCAAGGGAGACAGTCCCCTGGTGCTCGTGGCTCTCCCAGCTGCACAGACCTCTCCTCCCTCCCGGCTGCACCCAGCTGTGCAGCAGGGATGGGCTCTCCTGGCCTGGGGCTCAGGGACTGCTGTGCACCAAGCTCCGGTGTCACAGCCTTTGCGTCCTCACAGAGAAGTGCCACAGGCACCTCTTCAGCATCATCATAGCCCATGCTCCCCGGGGACGGGGATGATGTGTCTCCTTCAGCTCCAGGGACCTCAGCACTTCTCCAGGAGCGCAGGCTGCCCCCTGCAAGCAGCAAGGCCGGACGTTTCAGTTCACCCCATGGGGTCTGTACACCACCACCCTCCCTGCTCCTCACCACCTTCAGCTCCTTCTCCCACCCCTGGGCCTTTCAAGGAAAACTCCTATGCCAGGTTCCCCCTTCCCAGCAGGTTTTGGTGTCAGTAGGGTAGTGACTTGAGGGGCACCAGGGATGGCACCCTAGGAACAGGCAGTACTCTCTTTCCCTCTCACCTCCAGGTGCAGCCCTGGGCCCTGCTCCCTCCTCTGGCATCCTGGGAATTTCCCACTCTCCCTGCCCAGGCACAGCATCCTCCCCCAGGTCAGAAACCTCCCTGGCATCATCGTAGCCATCTGCTGTGTCACCTCCAGGCAGGACAAGGACATCTGAAAGGAGAGGGGAGCTGGTGACAGTGAGAAGATCTGTCCTGAAGAGCAGAGGATGGGAGGATGTGCAGGGACACAGAGCGCAGACACTGGGCTTGGCAGAACCACAAGAGATGCCCATGTCCTCCCCTTCTCCGATGGTGACACTCAGGGACACCTCTGTCCACCCCATGTCTGCAGGGAGATCAACCCCTTCCTGCCTCCGTTACCTGGTGCTGATCCCAGACCATTCTCCTCCTCGCTGACCCCAGGGTGGGGCTGCAGCTGGGTCAGGGACTCCTCTGAATAGGAGCCTGGAGAGATGCACAGCGGGTGTTATGGAGCAAGCCCCACTGACGTGGTTCACGGTCAGCGCTGCTGGGAAGTGGGACCCACAGAGCTGGGGCTGTGTGGGGAGGAGGGCTGGGAATTCACCCTGCTTCCCCGGGACAAACCCTGTCTCAAAGGAGCTTCCAGAGCTGGCCCAGGACAGCCCCTTGCCTCGCTCCTCGGGTGTCTCATGGGGTGCAGGGGCAGGAAGAGAGGGGCTGTCCAGCTGGGACAGTCAAAGCTGACTGGGAGAAAGCTTCTCTCCTGGGATCAGGACCTGGATGCTCTTCCCCACAGCTCCCACAGCCAGCACCACAGGGACCACAGGCTGGGGGGCTTCAGGGGTCAGCTCTGGGTTGGGGCCAGAGGAATGGGTCCTGCGGATGTGCCTCCAGGGAAGACCCACACCCACCTGAGCGATCAAACCTGGCTCGTTTCTCCCACGCTGGGCTGTACCCGATCTCCTCGTACACAGCCTCGGGGAAGGGCTCCTGGGCTCTTCTGGAGCCTGGGGACAGAGGCAGGGCTGGCACAGGGACAGGCAGAGGGGCAAATAGACCTCACTGTGCTCCCCCAAAAGGTTCCTTGGGCCACCTCAGGACAGGCCGAACAGCACAGCCCCACTGTGCTATCCAGGCATGTCTACCACATCCCTCCCCAGTGAGGGCAACATCGATGTGAAGATCATCTGGGGCAGCGTCACCCTCACATCATTGCTTTGGAGACAGTGCTCATGCCCCTCTGGCCTGTGCGCCATGTCCCCATTGTCTCACCCTGGATCTGTTCCACCCTTCCTCTCCACCTGGAGCTTGCCCCTACCTGCCCCACGGGTCTATAGTAGGGCCCCTGTCCTGCCAGGGTGTGGGCAGGGCTGGGCAGGGGGACAGCCTGGGGGCCTAACACCACAGTGATGGACCCTGCTGCCCCACACTCCTCCTAGCATCTCTCTTGCCCCAGAGCCCCCTCCAGCACTACCGAGAGCACAGCCAGCCTTGGCCATCCCCACTCTGCCATTTCTCTCCTCACCCCATGGCTAACTGCCCCCACCTTGGGGCTCTCTCTACCCCTTGTTGCTGGTGCCCCACGGCCAGTCACTCAATGGGGCAGCACATGTGACAGGTAGCAGCACACAGTCTCACCCTCCCGCTCTGCCTGTGCCCCTCGCTGATACCCCCCGCCGCACCCCACAGCCCTGGCAGGAGGTATCTCCCCCCGGCACCTCTGGGCAAGGACCCACCTCTGCGCCCAGCCCGGCGCTCAGCACTTGTCCAGCCAGGAGGGCCAGGAGCAGGCAGACAAGGGTCCCCAGGATGATGCACATGATGACGGGCACTGAGACTCTCCCGCTGCTGCTCTGACGGCCTTGGGTGGGATCTGCATGGGAGAGAACTTGGAAGGGGCAGCACCAGTGCTGGCCCCATCACGCAAAGCAGAAGCAGGTGGATGGCCCCAGGGGTGAGTGACAGGGAAGCTTCCACCCTCCTGGGTAAATTACAGCTCTCCCCAACCCCTGCCACCACTCCAGTATCTCCTCCAGGCAGTTTCACACCCCAGCAAGGAGCCCCTTCCATCCAGCTGTGGGTCACAGCCTGGCCCTGGGGTACCCAGCCTGGGGAGGACAAGTTACCTGCTCGGGGTGGGGGTGTTGTCATCCTGGGTGTAGCTGCAGAGGAGGAAAAGGAGAGCTGGGCTGAGACACTGGGTGTGTGGGTATCAGGAAACCTCCTCCCCAACACACCGTGTTTGTGTGTGTGTGTGTGTGTGTGTGTGTGTGGTTCTCTAGATGTCCCTGACACATCCCACCCAAATTGCCCCTCCTGTAGTGCCAGAAAGGGAGGCCGGGACAGAGCCCAGCACCTCTCTCTGGGAGGCAGGCAGGATGGCAGAGGCAGCCCAGGGGATAGCCCTGGGGCTGCAGGGCCCCACGGGCAGTGGCCAGAGCACGGCCAGTTACACCGAGGCTGCTCCCTGCCTGGCACCGGGCTCCTGCACTCCACAGGAATGTTCTTTCTCTCGGAAGGTCGGGGGCCATGCCCGGACCACGTGACAAAAGGCCTTCCCTAGCTCCCTGCCAATACCCGAGCAAGGGCTCCCAGCCCTGCCACTAACCTGAGCAGCTCACGGCAGCATCTTCCTTGTGCCGGCAAGCCCCGCTGTCCCCGGGCCAGGCCCAGCAGTCCTGCAGGGATGGCTCCGTCCCCCGGCACTCCACCTGCTCCAGCCAGATGGGGCCCGTCCCCATCCCAAACGCAGCCTCATGCAGGGCAGACACTGCGGGGCCACAGCCCAGCTGCCTGCACGCCACCTCGGCATCCTGCATGTCCCACGAGTCGTCGCACACCGTCCCCCAGGAGCCACGGTGCCAGACCTCCACTCTGCCCGAGCACCCGTCCTTGCCTCCCACGGCACGAATCTTCTCCCTGGCTGGAGAAGAGTAAGACCTCCCATGGCACCGGGAGAGCAGGCAGAGCCCTGCCAGACACAGAGGGGACCTCCCTACCTGTGCAGCTCGTGGAGTTGGGGCACGGCGCCGGTGAGGTTGGAGGCATTTCTGGCTGTCCCCCTGAAGAAGGAAACACTGTGGTGAAGGGGCTGGTTTGGGGGATCATGCAGAAGAGAGTGGGGCTGAGCTCTGCTCGGGCCTCCCTGCACCATCTGGGGCACGGCAGCAACTGAAACCCTGTCATCCAGGGACACGTGCAGGACTGTGGGGGGACCCTGATTGCTCAGCCCCAGAAGGTCCCTGGCTCACAGAGCAGCAGTAGCTTGTCTGTGGAGGGGAGGCTCTTCTGAAACATGTTTGGTCTCTTCTGAGACTCACGTGGAGATGCCTCTGCTCCTCCAGGCACTGCTGGTAAGCTGGGTGACTGCTGCTGGAATGTGTGTGGCCGCGGTCATGTTTGTGCCACTGACAGCATAAGGGTCTGGCATGGAAAGTAAAAGCTCTCAAGCTCTTTCTCTGTGTTTGGCCATGCCCCATGGGGAGCAGGAGCTGGGGTGACACTGGTGCATGGGTGCTCAGAGTTACCATTGCAGGTGATGTGGATCTCCTCTTCCAGGTATTCACATGACTGTGGATTCCAGGGCGTGGAGGGACACTGCCAGAAGGAGCTGTTTCTCTCCCACACTGCACGCGATCCAGCCAGGCAGGGCCAGACACCCTGCCAGAGGGCAGGCGTGTTTCCAGGGATCCTCCGTCCCCGCAGCCCAGCTCCTTGCACGCCAGTGTCACCGTGTCCTGAGTGGAGTTAGAGCAAACACTCCCCCATGTCCCGTTGTAGAAAACCTGCAGGCGCCCGGAGCAGCCGTCGCTGTTCTCCAGCCTCAGGGCCACGAACTCTGGGAAGAAAAGGCCCCAAAGCGGGAACAGGCTGATCTGGGGCTGTGGGAGCCAGGACACCTCTACACCCCCCAGGCCCTCAGCTGGGCAGGGGCAAGGCCACCACATCCCCCTTGCACCCAGGGGCAGAGAGAAGTCCCGGATTTACAGCCAGCCCTGCCCTTCCCGCGAACCCTCGGGGACAGCTGAGCTCCCCAGGGACCCCGTGGGACTGAGGGTGTCCGTGCATGGGTGGGCCTTGGGCAGGAGCTCAGAGGCAGCCAGGGGCAGCCTTGGCCATGGCCGGCTCTCCCCGCGTCCTGCCCTCCCCGGGACCAGGCTCCCACCACAGCTCCTGAGGTGGCACAGACCTGAGCAGAGACTCCCGCATCCTCTTTGTGCCCGCAGTCGTGCTGCCCCCAGGGCCCAGCCGGGCAGTCCCAGAGAGCAGCTTCGGCCCCGGAGCAGTTCACACCATCCAGCCAGATCTGCCCGGAGCCTTCCCCGAAAGAGCGGAGCCGGCTGCCTCCACTGCCTCTCCGCAGCCCAGCTGGTGGCAAACGACGGCGGCATCAGACAGGTCCCAGCCGTCGTCGCAGACAGTCCCCCAGATGCCCTGGGAGTAGATCTCCACTCTCCCCGCGCAGCGCCCGGCCCCGTTCACCAGCCGGACCCGCCGGCTCCCTGCAGCGGGTGGAAACCCCAGTCGCTGTCAGGGCCTGCCTGCCTGCGCAGACCGTCACCTGGGCGCCTGGGCAGTGCCACTCACCCCAGCAAATGACTCCCACGTCCTCCGCAAGCCCTGCCGCCAGCGCACTGCCGGGCAGGGAGGTGTTGCAGAGGGTCAGCTTGGCCTCGTGCCCTGCGCACCGGACCCCTCGCAGCCCCACGGGGCCCGTCCCTCGCTCAGGCTTTGGGGGGTTGTAGGCTGTCCCTGCCTCTCCGCACTGCAGCTGCCGGCACACCACGCTGGCCTCCTGCACGTCCCACTGCTCATCCAGGACTCTGCCCCACGCCCCATCCTGGAAGATCTCCACTCGTCCGTCGCACCGGCTCCCTCCGCCCACCAGCCGCAGGGATCCAAAGCCGGCTGGGCCTGGGGAGAGCAGATGCCACGGCCATCGGGCACCGGGAGCATGGCACCCTGCAGGGAGCAGGGCAAGGGGGATTTTCAACCAAACGGGACAAGGTGGAGCCTTGTGCTGACGAGAAGTGAGGGCAAAGCCTGGGCCCTCTCTGCAGCTCACAGCCAGGTCAGCTGCTGCTGGGGGCACCAGCTCCTGCCTGGGTGGGGGGATGAGGCTCTGCAGGGCTCTCTGTGGGGACGGGATGCGGTCGGCTGCAGCCAGAGGGATGGAGCAGAGCCCTGCAGCCCTGTCCTGGGCTCGCTGCACAGTACGGACAGAGGAGCCTGGGCCTGGCGGTGGTGCTGGGGCCTAAGCCACTGCCCTGGGGGCAGATGCCTGCCTCCGTTCAGTCCTCAGCTCTCCCAAAGTCGAGCGGTCAGTCTGAGCAGGGAAAGCCCTCCAGACAGTTCCTGGGGAAGCCAGGGTTTCCCCAAGGAGAAATTCAGCCTGATACGGCCATGGAACCCCTACTTTTAGTGGCTATGTTGCACACAAGTGACAAATGGAGTTTATGCAGCATTTTTCCAGCACTAACCTGAGCAAAGGACAGCAGCAGCGTTCCCTTGGGAGCACGGCGAGGCGCCCAAGGTGGTCACTGGGCACTGCTGCAGGAGAGCTTCAGTCCCGTCACAGTGGAATGAGTCTCTCCAGACAGGGCCAGTTTCTCTCCCAAAATATTCTCCTCCAGGAATGGACTCAGCAAACCCGCAGTTGAGTTGACGACAGAGAACGTGGGCATCCGAGAGGTCCCAGCGGGAGGCACAGAGGGTCCCCCAGGTTCCCAGCACCTGGACCTCAACCCTCCCCGCACACACTGTGCTGCCGTTCACCAGTCTGATCCCTGTGTACTCTGGGGACAGATGTGGAGAAAAGAGAGTGGATTGGTGCTCCTGTACCCTCAGTAGCTGGTGGAGGGGCCAGAGGGACCACATGTCTTTGTTCTCCTTCTGCAGTATTGTCATGCTGCAAACAAACCCATCAACCCTCCTGTCCTCACACCCGGCCCAGCACAGTCCCTGCTCTGTTCCCCAACCCCTACCACAGCCCCGGTGTTCAACAGCCCACCCTGAGTCCTTACCTGTGCAGTTCACAACAGCGCTGTTTGCGTGGGTGCAGGGCTTGTCCCGGGGGGGCCCTCTGGGGCAGGAGGTGAGGAGGGATTCATTCCCCACACACCGCAGCTCTCCATCCCACATGGGACCCACCCCTTCTCCAACGTGACTTCCTCCAGTGACAGGCAGGGCTACGCCGCACTGCAACTCCCTGCAGAGCACATCAGCAGCCTTGGGACCAAAGTGGGAATCACAGACACTTTTCCACAGGTCCCCGTCACGGATCTCCACACGTCCTGAGCAGCGGTTCTTCCCTTCCACCAGACGGAAAAATCCTGGAAATAAATCAACTGGGAGTTCCCAGAGCCTTGTGGCATTCCCATGCCCACATCCCAGACCATCTCCACGCAAACTGTGACAAAAATCGCTCACTGCACATCTCAGAAGAAGCTATTTAAGGAGTGATGGTGTCACAAAGGCATCCATGTCAAGTTACACACTTTCTCTCCACCATCACAGCACTCAGGGGTGTGTGTCTATTGCAGACCCACAGCAGAGTCTGCAAACCACGTTGGCACCGTTGGGACCAAAGTGTGAGTCACACAGGTCCTCATCATGGATCACTATACGTCCTCAGGAGGACCGGTGCCCTTAGAGCAGCCGGACAGATTCTGGACCAACCAATGACCCCTGAGAGTTCCCACAGCCATCTGGCAATACCATGACTACATGCCAGCTGATCTCCAAGGTGGCCACAGGCAAAAAAACCCTACGACATCCCCAGCTGCTCTCAGGGGGTGCTGGTGGCACAAACACATCAGCCAAGGGACCTGTGTCTGCTAAGGGGGACAACCGCAAAGTAGCTCCCCGTCTCACGCCCTTCCACAGGACGGTGGGTGGCCACAGGAGTCACTTCTGGTGCCTCTGGCATGGGGACAGCTGGCCCTGAGCACTGCCAGACAGCTCCTGGGTGAACAGGAGGAGAAAGATGGCAATCAACAGACCATGCAGGGCAGGGATGGAGGGTTCATCTGCACCAGCTCAGGGACCAGGCACAGTAAGGCACCCTTGGGCAGGTTCCCACTGGCTTTCCCCAGGGACTGGGGACACCAGTAATGACAGTCCCTCAGCAGTGTGACTGGCCACACTGGGCAATGCTCCGATGCCTGACTGTTGCTCCCTGAGGGCACAGCCAGGTTCCTTCCACAATCTGAGCCCCAGAGGTATGGAATAGGTTGTCATCTTACCTGAACACACCACTCCAGCATCATCAAAATGACCACAGTCATGTTCACCCCATCCTCCATGTGTGCAGTCAGACAGGGCAGATTCGGTGCCATTACAGCCAACATCATCCATCCAAATGGGGCCAGATCCTGGCCCAAAGTGTCCGTATTGAGGAGCTTCAACAGCAGACCCACAGCCCAGCTGTTTACAAACCACTGCTGCATTCTTCATGCTCCAGTAGTGACCACACACAGTCCCCCACTTGCCCTGTTGTTTCACCTCCACTCTCCCAGCACAGCGCCTGCCGCCGTCTGCCAGCCTCACCTCCACAGCACCTTCAAACACTGACACAGGACCAGTAAGGACAGCGCTCAGCCCCAGCACTGCGGGTCTGGGGAAGCCCTGTGCAGGTGGAGTCAGAGGCACCAGGGTGGGAGCCCACTCCCCTCCAGGCTGTCCCCAGGGCAGTTCAGGAGTCCCTTCTCTCCTCATGGGCTGTGCAAGACTGGGGGTGCCCAGCTCCAGCCCTGCTGGGTCATTTGTGGCACCACACACTCTGACACTTCCATCCACTCCAACAGCCCCTCGCCCCTGACCTGTGCCCACCCAGGGCTCCTGCTCCTCCCCAGACAGCACCCTGAAAAGGGACCTGTCCCCACCAGGGATCCCCCAGGCTCACATGGCTACTCCTCCCCAGAGCCCCCAGCTCCCCTGGACCACAGCCTGCCCTGGGCCTCTCCCAACTCACCCTCCTCCCTCAGGACTTTCCGTGTCCCCTGTGGAGCAGAATGATGGTCCCAGTGAGGCCTCCCAACCCATGCTCCCTCCTTGTCCTTGGGCATCAGCCCAGACCTGACCTTGTCTGGGATCCCCGCAGGAAGCTTACCCCTTTGCGAGCCTCTGGGAACAGATACCCCAGTTCCCTTGTCTCCACAAGCACAACCCACCCCCGGTCAGGCCGGGGATCACCCTGACTCCGGGACAAGAGTGAAGAGCCCACACCCCTTCCTGGGTACCCCGGAGGCTGGCTGTTCCTCTGGGATGACAGAACAAAGAGCCACCAGTTAAGGCACCACCAGCTCACAGGGAACAGAGCTGGCAGAGCCAGGGCCCCAGGGATGCCCAAGGATGGCAAATCCACACGCGGGTACCAACGGCCAGAAACGTGGGAGCCCTGGAAGCAGAAAAGCCCTTCTGCCACGCAGAGAAGCACAGGCTCAGTGAACCTGTTCACTTTCTACCCCTTGTCACATAGACACACGGGAAGAAGCCCCATTTCCAGAGGGATCCCTGTGCTGCTCCTTGGACCCAGGGCTTTGTGGCAGGGTAGCAGGCGTTTCCCCCTGCACAACTGCACCCAGAGGAGCAGCTACAGTAACTAAGGGGACAGAGGGACTCTGTCCCCATCCTGAACCTTTCGGCAGCCGTGCACCAAATGCAGGAGGATGGAACAGAAGCGAGACATTGGCTTCTGCATCTTTTCCTGCGTAACTGCAGACTGCAGGAGACAACATCACCCCTCCTGTTCTCATACCAAGGCCAGCACTGTCCCTGCCCTCCTCCCCTGCCCCCGGCACAGCCCAGGTGTTCAACAGCCCACCCTGAGTCCTTACCTGTGCAGTTCACAGCAGCGCTGTTTGCTTGGGTGCAGGGCTGGTCCCGGGGGGACCCCCTGGGGCAGGAGGCGAGGAGGGATTCATTCCCCACACACCGCAGCTCTCCATCCCACATGGGACCCACCCCTTCTCCAACGTGACTTCCTCCAGTGACAGGCAGGGCTGCGCCGCACTGCAACTCCCTGCAGAGCACGTCAGCAGCCTTGGCACCAAAGTGGGAATCACAGACACTTTTCCACAGGTCCCCGTCACGGATCTCCACACGTCCTGAGCAGCGGCTCTTCCCTTCCACTAGCCGGAAAAATTCTGGAAAAAAATCTAATCAACTGGGAGTTCCCAGAGCCCTCTGGCATTCACATACTCACATCCCACACCACCTCTAAGCAAGATGTGACCAAATCACCCACTGCATATCCCAATAGCTTTAAGTTTCCTTGTAATATTTCTTTGAAAGGACAGATTGCGTAGAAGGTAGGTCCTTGAAAGGAGCTGTTATTGTTAACAATAGGCCTATGAAGATAGTAGTTGCTTAATTGCTATATTTTGAGGATAGTGGTTGCTTAATTGGATAGCCTTGCACTTATCTACTGACCATCCAAGGTCAGCTTTGATTAAGTAGGATACGTGGTGAATGCCCAAAGATAATAACAAGAAGAAGAGTTACAAAAAGACAAGAATGGCCTGATTTTGTCATGTGTGAACTTAATGAAAACAAAGATGAGTATCAATATAGACAATTTTAAGAAAAGGACAAGGTAAAGAAAATGAGCAAGGAGGAAGTAACAGCCACCGACATACTGAAACGACCACAAGGATGCACTACCACGCCTGTGTAAAGGACATTATAATATTAAAAGGAGAACCAGGGAAGGCTTATACTTATGTATATACTCACCATAAAGATAATGAATATGTATGACCTTTTCCTATATTAACAGGATACTAACAAGTTCAGGGGGTCGGTGCTAGGTGGAATTATGCCTCACTGGCCTGGCACCAGTAAAGGAATGCTTCTTTCAGAAAAATAAACCTTGGTCTCTGAGAGTTTCTTTACAGACTGACTTTTACATTAACGACAGAGGAAGCTGTTGGGAAAGTGTTGGTGTCAGAAACACATCCAGGCCAAGTTACACACCTTCTCTCCACCATCACAGAACTCAGGTGTGTGTGTCTATTGCAGACCCACAGCAGACTCTGCAAACCACGTTGACACCGTTGGGACCAAAGTGTGAGTCACACACCGCTGTCCAAAAGGCCTCCTCATGGATCACTATACGTCCTCAGGAGGATCTGTGCCCTTAGAGCAGATGGACAGATTCGGGACCAACCAATGATCCCTGAGAGTTCCCACAGCCCTTTGGCAATACCCTGACTACATGCCAGCTGGTCTCCAAGGTGGCCTCCAGGAAAAATCCCTACGACATCCCCCAGCTACTCTCAGGGGGTGCTGGTGGCACAAACACATCAGCCAAGGGACCTGTGTCTGCTGGGGGGGACAACCTAAAAGTATCTCCCCATCTCACGCCCTTCCCCAGGACGGTGGATGGCCACAGGAGTCACTTCTGGTGCCTCTGGCATGGGGGCAGCTGGCCCGCAGCACCGCCAGACAGCTCCTGGGTGAACAGGAGGAGAAAGATGGGAATCAATAGACAATGCAGGGCAGGGATGGAGGGTTCATCTGTGCCAGCTCAGGGACCAGGCACGGTAAGGCACCCCTGGGCAGGTTCCCACTGGGCTTTCCCCAGGGACTGGGCACTCCAGTAATGACAGTCCCAGCTCGGCAGTGTGACTGGCCACATTGAGCAATGCTCTGGTGCCTGATTTACGTTCCTTTAGGGCACATCCAGGTTCCTTCCACAACCCCAGCCCCAGAGGTATGGAATAGGTTGTCCCCTTACCTGAACACACCACTCCAGCATCAAGGATATGATCACAGTTATGTTCACCCCATCCTCCGTGTGTGCAGTCAGACAGGGCAGATTCGGTGCCATTACAGCCAACATCATCCATCCAAATGGGGCCAGATCCTGCCCAAAGTGTCCGTACTGAGGAGCTCCAACAGCAGAC